AGCTGGCCAGCAGATTCGGCGACGACGTGGCCTCAATTGCGGCCGCCGCCGCCGCGCCATCCTCCCCGAGTCCCCGAGACGTGCCAGAGCCGACGCCGCCAGGGCAGCTTCCCCTGACTCTCGCGCCTGCCCCTGCCGCCGCGCCGCTCCTGCCTGCCTCTGGCGGCTATCCGGCGCCTTCGGCAGCGACGGCCTTGGGCCCGCTGCCGTGGCCTCCGCCTGCCTTGGCCAGTGCGATCGCGGCGCCTCCGCCTGCCTTGGCCAGTGCGATCGCGGCGCCTCCACCCGCTGCAACAGGGAGCGCGCCTCCGCCCCCTCCAGCTCCTGAGCTGGGCAGCACGTCTGTCGACGAGGGCGTCGACGGCGACGCAGGCGAGGAGACCGTCGCGATGCGACGGGGGAGACAACTCGAGCCCTCCGAAGGGCGGCGGAGCAGAATGCGTTCCAGAAGCATGCAGAGACCGACCGAGGACGATGTTGCTTCCTCTAGCTCACCAGAGGACGAGCGGGAGGATGCTGCCTCTGGCGCACCCGAGTATGCTGTCTCTGGCGCAACAGAGGAAGTGTTCCTGACGACTCGTCTCTCTGAGAGGAAGCGCAGACGAGTGCCCGACGAACGCAAGGCCGAGCTTCGCAGCGTCGTCCGAACGTGTGCCAGGCAGCAGCACTTCGTCGACAACAAGGAGCGTAGGGAAACCGACGCCCAAGCTCGCGTCCGAGACTGGCAGATGCCGCAGCTCGAGGACCGAAACGCCTTCCGCACGCAGAGAAAGCTCGGCTTTTGGTGCGACCCGATCCCTACATGGAGGCAGTTTCTCGAAGGCGCCCCCCGCCGAAACGACAACCCAAATGACGCAGGGCAGCTGTGGCCCGTCGCGCGCGCTGGCCTCCAACAAGCAACGCTACAGGCGGCGGCTGTGGCAGGAGCTGTGGGGCCCTGACGCTGCCCCTGGCGCGCCCTTCGCCGAGGCATGCCCGAATGCCGTGCTCGGCGACGGGTGGGCGGCGCTGACGCCAGACGCCTTCGAGGCATCGAAGCGCAAAGCAGGGAATCCCGACGACGAGTCCTGCGTCAAGCACATCCCCGAGAAGCACAGCGGCGAGGCGCGGCGCTGGGGGGGGCGGGGGTGGAGGGACGTACCTTCTGAATTCGCGGGCAATCTCTGCCACGTCAGGTTCTGGCACCACCAGTGCGCCACGAGCGAAAAGGCGCGTGATTACCTGGCCTGGAAGAACGCTGGCAGGAATACGGACTTCCTGCCTCTGGCGGAGATGAAGTGGATCCTGGACGTGGATGGTGGCGAGACCGCGCATCTGAAGCGTGTCGAAGACGACTCTGCCTCTGGCGAGACGTGGTACATCAGGACAGGACAACTCGTGACGCTGGCGGAGATGTTCAGCTACGGGTGCCGCCTTTGCCCGTGCCACTTCCTGTGCACGTTGTACCTCCGACAACCGATACTCGCGACGAGGAAGGAGCACAGCGAGTCGCAGACGGCGGGGGTACTCTCAAGAAGAATGCTCGGCGCCTGCGCTATCAGGAGACAGGGCGCTGGGGCCTGCCCCGGCGGCGAAGGTGAGGGCGCGGTGCTGCTGAGTAGCTGCCTCTGGCGCTTCTTTCCTTGCAGAACCCTCTCAAGAGCTGCCTCTGGCGCTTGCTGACTTTTGCGCGCAGCGCGTCGCTGCTTTCGCGGCTGCCCGCCGGCCGCGCTACCGCGCAGGGGCGCGCTTGCCTGCGCGCGGGCAAGGGCGGCGGCGAGTTCGATCCGTCGCGGATTTCCCGCAACAAGTTGTGGTGGCGCGACGAGCGCGCGTTCGAGACGTTCAACAAGCTTTTGGCGCCTGCGGGGCTGAAGGATTTCCTCGACAGACACTCCGACGAATTCGCCTGGTGCGAGAAGGCCGACAACAAAGGCATGCTCATCACATGGGCGAACTGGGCGCGGCAGGAGGAGCGCGCCCCGCCATGGGCGCGCCCCGCCATGGGCGAAGTGGGCGCAGGCGCTGCCTCTGGCGCGCCCCGCCGTGGCGAGCGTGCCCCAACGCGAAGTGGCTTCAGGAAGCGGCCTGAAGCGGCCGAAGGGTGCCCGCCAACTGACCGCCCTCAGGAAGCGGCCTCTGGAAGCGGCCAGAATGCACTGCCTCTGGCGTGCCCCGACAATTCACCGCCCTCAGGAAGCGGGCAGAATAAGAGCAACCCTTGGGAAGACCTTCGCTGGGAGATGATTGCCCGAGACACTGCCTCTGGCGTGGCCGAGTCGCTGCCTCTGGCGTGCCCGTGACGCCGCCTCTGGCGCGCCTTCTGAGGCCAAGGCGGTGTCGCGGCAGCTGGCGCCGCGACACTTGCGAGCGGAAAAACTAGTCGTCGTCATCACCACCATCGTAGTCGCCGTCATGACCACCGACATCATCAGCGCAATCAGCGACACCATGACCGCCGACATTATGACCATCGTCGTCATGACCACCGTCATCATGACCACCGACATCATGACCATCGTCATCATGACCACCGACATCAATGGCATCATCAGCGCCACCGTCATCATCATCATCATCATCATTACCATCATCACGCCAAGTTCGCATCATATTAGCGCGGCGGATCCTTAATGTGATGTTCGACCCCTTGGTGGACCAGGCAGCTGGCACAGCGTGCAGCACGAGGCTGCGCGCCTTTCCGGCACGCTCGCTGGCCCATCGGCCACCATCAAAGCAAAACCGAAAGCGCAGCCAAAAGAAGTGGCCGTTTGCCTGCAAAAGTGTAGCCTCCCGGGGCGAACGCCGGGCCGCTTCGGCGAGCTCGCCGACGCGCGGCAGCCGCCGTGCTGCCGCGTGCGAAGGCGGCGCTGCGCACCGAGTAAGAAGCAAATCGCGGAAAAGGGAAGAGTCCCAGGTTGGCGGCCGCGTGGCTGCCCAGGACGCGGGCGCCCAGGACGCGGGCGCTCAGGAGGAGTCGTTGGGCTCCTCCTCGGGGCCCCGGGAGTCCAGTGCCAGCCATTTCCCGGCTCGCGGCCCCCAAGCTGGGGCCGCGTCCGGCGCCTGGAGGGAGGCGAGTCCAGGGGCAGCCCGTTGCCCGGGTCACCGCCCCAGGAGGCGCGGGGGGCAGCGTCCGACGCCTGACAGACGCGGGACCAGGCGCACGGGGGAGAGGGGGTGGGGCGCTGCGTTGCACACGCAGAAGTGGCGCCAGAGGCGCAGAGAGCAAAATGCCCGAAGTGGACAAGTGCATGCCCCCTTCAGCGAATTGCGATGCCGCGCTCCACGCGGCCCAAGCTTCGGGACCCTGGCCAAGCTTGGGCTGGGAAGGGGGACCTGGCCCCACACTACCCCGGCGCTCCTAGTGGCCTAACCCATCGCCACGCCGGGGACGTTGGCAGCTCAGCGCCGCCCATCTGCTGAGCTCCCCCCTCGCAGGTGCCGGGAGCTCTTGCCCTCCTTCGCCTTGCCGCTCCTCTGCTGGCTTTCGCCATTGCCCCCTTTGCTGCCCTTGGCAGCTGCCCTGCGGCTCGCCTGCGCGCGCTTGCCACCGCGCGGTGCGTAGAACGACCCTTCGGGCTTCCTCTTGCGGCCCTTGGGGGTCGGCCGCTGGCAGGGGATGGAACGGTTGCGCCTCCGCGGGGACCGCGCCACGCGGTCGTCCCGCTCGCGCGGGGACCAGATGCCGGGGGCCAGTCTGGGGCCACCGCTGGCTGCCCGTCCTCGCTGGCCTCCTGCTTCGCGCGCAGCGGCTTCTTGTTCTCCTCCTCGTCCTCCTCCTCCTCCTCCTCCTCCTCCTCCTCCTCCTCCTCCTCTGCGCCCCGCTCGAAGGGGCCGTCTGGGCCGATGTCGTCCACGGCCTCCTCCTCCTCCTCCTCGCTGGCCTTGCTCTCCTCCTCGTCCTCCTCCTCGCCATCCTGGCCGGAGTCGCCCGGCTGGGCCCGCGCCGCCGCTTCCTCCGCCGTGAGTTTGCAGTAGTTGCACAGCGAGAGGTCGCAGCTCTTGCAGTACCACCGCAGCGTCCCGGCGTTCGCCTCGCGCCCTTTGCAGTCGGGCGACCCCATGCTGGGTGCAGATCCAGTCCCGCCCCAGGCACCGGTATGTGCTCCAGCGCATCGGCTTCCCGCGCGACTCGCAGTCCGGGTACTCCGGCACCATCTCCGAGCTTGCGCCCGCCGCGGGCGGTTCCGAAGCCCACTGCGCCACGACCTGCTAGTCGTCACTCTCGAAGAAGCGGCGCCCCGTGCGCAGCGCTCCCAACGCGCGCTGCGCGTCCTCGTGGAGCTCGAGCTCGCGCGGCACCATGGGCTCCCTCTTCCACCGCGCATCGTAGACGAACGCCGCGTGGACCACCGCCCCGCAGGACGTGAACAACTCCCCGAGGCTGCCCATCCTGACCTTGCCCGGGACCCGGGGCGGCCTGATCGCTGGCTCCCCCGAGCTCGCGCTGGCACTCCTCCGACGCCGGCTGCGGGCGCGGGACAGCGGCCTGGCTTCGCCCGTCGTGCCCGCGCGGCAGGCCGCCATCTCCTCCTCGGGGCGATCGCGCCTGGGTGCTCTCGCGCCTGGGCCTCCGGCGGGGGGGGAACCTCCACGCCGCCACGGCTCCTCCTGTCCCCTGGCCCCCACCTGCGCACCTCCCGTGGCGCGCGCCTCGGAGCCCGACGGCTGGCCTCGGGGTCCTCGCGCGGCGGGGCCACCTCGGGCGCCCTGCCGGGCGCGGGGCCGGGGCCCCCGCCCTCTCCTCCGCCGCGGCCGGCCCCTGTGGCCTCGCCCGCCCTCTGCTGGGCCGGCGCTGGGCTCGCCGTCCTCGGCAAGCGGAGCGGCGCCAGGGCCCAGGGCGTTTTGGGGGCCCGCCTGCGCCACTGCCCGCGCCAACTTCGCGTCGACTGGGTTGCTCGCCTCCTCCTCCTCCTCCTCCTCCTCCTCCTCCTCCTCCTCTGCGCCCCGCTCGAAGGGGCCGTCTGGGCTGATGTCGTCCACGACCTCGGGGTTGAAGCTGGCCGCCAGCTCCCACAGGCCGGGGGTTGCGCTTCAACATGCGACGGCGGGAGCCCAGATCCGCGCCCGTGAACAGCCCTACGGCTAGCGCCAGCTTCGCCGACCTCCTCTGCTCCTTGCCGTTGCCCGCGAACCACGCCGCCCGTATCGCGTGGTTCCCGTCCACGAGGTAGCAGGCCCCGCAGTCCTCGGGCCCGCCGGCTGCCACACGGGCGAGCGGCTCGCCCCACGCGCGGCGCCAGCTCGCGATCCGGGTCGCCCAGCTCCACCAGGTCGTCCTTGATGCCCATGTTCTCCCCGAGCAGCTCCTGCAGCAGCACATGCGCGTAGGGGGGCAGCTCGCGCGTCTCCCCGGCCACCACCAGTGCCCCCACTGCGGCCACCTGCGCGATCATCTTGTCGTGGCTGGCTGCCTCCTGCCGGAGCCACTGGCGTCACTGCCGCGATGGCGACCATCGCCGCGGCTCCGCCCGACTGGACCGGGCTCGCCTCGGGCCAGTCGCCCGTGTCCTCGCGAGCCCGAAACGGCTGCGGCACGGCGTGCAATGGGGAAGCAGAGGATGAGGGCGACGGAGTTGGCGATAGCACCACCTGTATCCCTCCGCGCCTGGACCCGACGCCCCACGACTTGTTGTCCGACTCCGGGGTGTCTGCGGGACCGACACGACTGAGGACGACCACGTGCTGCCCACTCTCCCCCGTAGCTGACGATGACGACGGGATACTTTGCGACTCGATCGGGCGCGACAACGACGCTACTACGTGCGACTCGCCGTCGATGCACGTGCCACAACGCCGGCCTGGCCTTGCCCAAGGCGGACGACGGGGTGCCAACGACGACCGGGCGGATGGGTAGGGGAAGTCGTCGTCCTCCCTACGCTCCGCCTCCCCACGCTCCACGCTGCGTTCGCCGAGGTCGGCTGCGCCCCTCGCGTCGGGTGCCAGGAGAGCGCGGCCTTGAGCCATGCCCTCTGCGAAGGACTGTTGTCTCCGTTGGTCCTCCCACAGATAGCCGTGGAGGGCGCCCGTCGTCCAGCGACCGAAGCGCTCGACCGCTTCCAAGTCGCGGGCGGGCGCGGCAGAGGGCCGTCGCTCCCCCCACGCGGAGGGGGCGCGACCCCAGTTTGGCCCCCTTTTTTTTTTTTTCTTTTTTTATTTTTATTTTTTTTTTTTTTTTTTTTTTTTTTTTTTTTATTTTGTTTTTTTTTTTTTTTTTTTTTTTTATTTTTTTAATTTTTTTTTTTTTTTCTTTTTTTTTTTTTTTTTTTTTTTTTCTTTTTTTTTTTTTTTTTCTGCCCCGCGCGCCGGCGTGGCCAGCCGCAGTGGCCCCTGCACCTCGCCTCGCGTCACTGCACGGCCACTCGCGTGCCGAAAAAAGGGGAGGCCCGGTTCGAGGCCGCGCTCAAACCGTTGAGGGCACTCACGGTGCAGCTCAGCCAGCGCGCTCAGCACGCACAGCGGGCGCTCCGAGCGGAAGTGGTTGCGGTGACATCCCGCGTCGCATTGGCCCGTCTTGGTGGACGTGATCGTCGGTGCGATCTTGTCGCAGCTGCCCGGCCACCCCTCCGGGGATCCGTCCCGTAGGCCCTGGATGTCGATGCCATGTGCGACGCGGTCCAGGCTCCAGGACTTGTCGGGCTGCACCAAGTACTCCGACGCTCTCAGCATGAATAAGTATCCGGTCACCAGGGCCCCCCACCAGAGGACCACAGCCTCGGCTCGAGGCTCGGCCCCAGGGCTGAAGAAGTATTCTTTAAGCCACGTCAGCATCCGCGGGGTTGCGGGCAGCTTCCGCCTCACCTTGCCACCCCAGCGTCGCAAGCCCCCCATCGTGGTCCACAGACGCCGACGGTCCGCGGTGACGCCCCCAAACCCGGCCAACGCATGGCAAACAGCTTCTGACGGATGGTGCGTCGTACAGGAACACCACGTAGCGTATCAAGTCGTCCTCATCGGCCAGCCTCTCCTCCCGCGTCTCCCCCTGCAGGTGCGGACTGTTGTCCTTCAGCTACCTCCATAGCAGCCAGCTCCTCCATCCGGCCTGGTAGGTAGCACGGGCCCCCTCGGCTAACTTCGCCAACGTCGCCTCCGTCGCCACGCGGACGAGGCCCCGTGCCTCGTCCACTGCCTCGAGGCCGGGGCGCGCCAGGCGGCCGACGGGCACAGCCCTGTGGCTCGAGCCTCGCGGCTGAGGAGCCGAAGTGGGCACCGCAAAGTCCCTCGCTCCCGCCGCGCACAGAACCTGCAGTCCCTGACTCCGGATCCGCCCTACTTTGGGGAAATTCGTAGGTAGGGTTTGGAATTTCCGCCTTCCTTTTCAAGCCCCGCTGATGCCAAGTTCCGCCCTACTTTTCTGCTGCTGTTTCCGCCCTACTTCTGTGGATTTCCGCTCCACTTTATGTTGGGTGCAGAAATTTCCGCCCTACTTGTTCGGCTTCTTATAAATGGATTTCCGACGCAATTTTAAGTTGTGGAAAAAGCCAAAGTAGGGCGGATCTGGAGTCAGGGGTCTCAGCAGCCAGACCATATACAATTGTTGACACTTTGCGTATCCCCACCAGTACTAGAGGTACATGACGCAAGTTCGCATACGCCTGGCGGCGGCCGACGCCATGGCGGCAGCATTTGTGGGCACCAGCTGCATAGTGATCGGAGCCCAAACCGTCAGGATCTTCCCTGCCACGCCCAGCAGGGACCCCATGCACAGGGCAGCCGGGGTATCCAGGGAGCTACAGGAGCACGTGGACGCCCTGGCCAGCACCTCTGTCCGGCAAGCCCCTAGGCGTGCCATTCAACCCCAAATACTCGAGATCACCACGTTGGATAGGCACGTGACACAGCTAGGAAAAGTTCGCCCCCGTAGCATGCGCCCCGATGCGTGGCTTCCTGGACACAGCACGCTCCGGCTCTACTCAGCCGCGGTCGGCTCTGCGAATGAGCAGATACTGACCCGGCTCTGGCCACTGCCGGACGGCCCTAACGGTACCTCACACCCAGCCAACACCAGAGCCGCCCCACCCCTCATCACAGGCGACTGGCTCCGGGATAACGCCAGGGCGATGAGCAGGAGTGCGCCCAACACGGTACCCAGTGTGTTTCAGGGGAGTGGCCTGCGGGACTGCGAGACTGTCCTTCAGCCCGGAGAATCCCTGCTTTCCGCAATCGCGGCCGGTGGAGCGGTTGAGGTCACCACGAGCGGAGAAATTGGTTTCCTCTTCACGTCAGTCCCCACCTGGGTGGCGATACTCCTCCCTGCGGACGCTGACATCAGGGCAGCCGCGAGAGGGGCAGACAGACCACAAGCCAGACTGAAACTGCAGCTTGTCGCTGGTCCAATACACGTTGCGCGCCTGGACTCCGCCCCTGCAGCGACGCCAACTCCCGCCTCGGTGGGGCTGCAGGTCAACGCACCTTCCCGACAACCACTTCCCAGACGCACCACTGCATCCCTCAACCCACTCCCTGGACCTGCCAGGCCTACGCACTTCCCGGAACTTGCCGAGGTGCTAGTGAGCGTATGCAGACCTTCCCCGGCGGACCTGGTGAGAGCTGACGAAGATGCAGTGCGCATCGCACGTGGCATGTTGGGCAGATTCGCTGCCGTCGTCCCAGAGCAGGCGGTCCACGACCTGGCGCGTGGCGTGCAACGCCGGATCGCCCTCGAAATCCGCAAGCAGCTCGAAGGCCGGCTCATGCAAAGGTACAACTGGGACATGTTCGCCGCAAATTGGATCCTGCAATTAGCCAACCCGGGGAGCCTAGACCGCGACCACGTCTGGCAGCTCATCCGAGAGTTCGGAATCCGAGAGGAGGTCACCAGACAGCTCCCATTCACGCAATGGCTCGCGCCTGAGCCCGACGCCACCTACTCAGCCCACCAGCCTTGGCTCGAAGTCCCTGGATCCAGAGGCGCAGACGTTGACGCCGCCACCGCGCTTCCCATCCCGGAAAGCGTCACCAGTGCCTTGGACGCCCTAATCAACAGGCTCTCTAACCTCCACTGGGAGGAACGGCAGCGCCACGACCCCGGTAGAATTACTCGGGGGCGGAGAGGAGGTTCCCAGGCTTCCAGACCCATTGGGGCGGGGGACAGGCCTGTTGACACCCCAGACGCGAGCCAGCGCAGGAGCCGCAGCCGCACGAACAACGAGATGGACGCTACAGGCACGCAAGCATGCGACTCGAGGCTGCCCACTGCTACAGATATCGGATCACCAGCTCCCCCGACCGGCCCTGGGCTTCCTGCGGCAGCACCGACATCACAGGCAAGGACAAGCTCCAACGGTGGGTCTATTGACAGCCACGTTTTGAGCGCGAATGGGGCGCAACTTCAGACCCAGTTGGCGGCGCCCGAGCAGGGTACGTCACCACCTTCCCTGGCTAGACCGACAGACGACGGAGAGGTGGACAATGGCATAAGCCACGATGCTGACAGCAGCGAGTTTCCACCGCTGGCGACTCCGATGAACCCCGCGACACCCGCGGATGGATCTGGCCGGACCCGCACCCCAGTCCGCGCAACCATGCCGAGCCCTGGCGTAGCTGAAATCCCCGCCCCAACTGACAACTCTGCCGAGACAACAGGAGTTAATGGTGCGGGCTCCGTAGGACGTTCCAAGAGCCACACCGGCGTGGACGTCCCTGGAAGCGATCGGACCTCTCCAGCAGAGGCATTTACCAGGACGGGGCAGCCTACGGCGGGGAAGGGTGGAGCCACGACCCCTGTCAGCACCGAAGACGTGCAGTGTACACCCGCGAACGTCAGGGCAGCGGACAATGACGGGGCTGGACCCCGGACAACTACACTTCCACGGGTCCCCGCGGACACGACAACAGCCCAGAGCAGGAGACCGCCTCCTGGCACGGTGCAAGGCTGCAGTAATGACCCCCTGGGGCGAGGAGACACGCCGAGAGGCGGGCCTGAGCTCCCCGCCTGCATGGAGGAGGATTGGAGGAGGGAGCATGAAGCCATGGCACGCACGCTCAGACGGGCACAGATGCACGCCACTGACGGCTTAGGTAGCCCCCCCACCGAGGACGAATGGAACCAAGTGCTCAGCGCGATAGCGTGGGCTGCCGCCATACCACAACTTGACAAAACCGCACGTGACCTGCACGAAGAACTTGGCCTTGCTATGCGAATTCCAGATGCCTTCAGCGCCTATTGGAATACCCACCCACCCCCTGGGACGCGCAACCCCACTGGCAGGAGAATACACTCACGCCAGGTGGCACTCACGGCTGATGCAGCCTGCGCCAATTGAGACAACTCGCAGGCAGCCCGGCATCTCTCTCGGACAGCGCGTCGGCACCAGAGGCCCCCTTTCAGAGCCTGGCACCTGCCATGCTTCGCACCATCTTGCGCGCTGGAGCCGGCGCTCCGTTTACCGACGACAGGGGCCAGGTTCTGAGTGAG